TGCTCTCTACAGTTTACCCACAGTTGAATATGATAGAGACGTCGACCCCAACATTTTTAACTGAACACACCATTCTATTTGCGCGTAACGATGATGTCAGTGACATTAATACTACTGCGTTAAATATCTTTCCAGGGAGATTATATACTTATTTTGCAGTAGATAAAATGTCTGAAGATAATGAAATAGATCCTACCATTACAAATAGATATCCTAATGAATATTTAAATTCATTGGATCCTCCCGGGCTACCAACTTTTAAGTTAGAGTTGAAAGTGGGTTGTCCTATAATATTGTTAAGAAATATTGCACCGAAAGATGGACTATGTAATGGTACAAGATTGATGGTTACTAGGTGCGACACTCGCATAATTGAAGCTCAAATTTTAACTGGAGAAAAGTTTGGCAATTTGGCATTCATACCAAGGATATCTTTGACACCATCTTCTTCAGAAATGCCTTTCCAAATGACAAGACGTCAATTTCCAGTCCGATTAGCATATGCCTTGACCATTAATAAATCTCAAGGACAATCTGTGAAATTTTTGGGGTTGATTTGCACATACCAGTGTTTAGCCATGGCCAACTATAAGTGGCACTGTCCAGATGTACATCATTTGATCGTATAAGTATTTTTCTCCCTAAAGATAGTTTGGATTCTACTACAAATATTGTTTATCCTGAAGTGTTGTTGTAGTGTTCCATGTTCATTAAATCGTGTTTTATCAAAAGGTAACCATGTAGATTTATTTCTATTGATTATATATATAGATTTTTTTTTTTAAATAAAATTTCAATCTAATAATAATTGGAAGTATGGATTTTTTAAGGATTGGATCGAAAATTTATGGAGCTTAAAAGGAGAAATACAACTAGCTTGCTTCGATGGGGATGTAATAAGGTAATTTCAATCTCAAAGTATTTTGATATGTATATTTCCAACAAATATACCAATCTATATATATATTTTTTTTGTTTCCGCAAATTACTAGATTGTTGTGCATGTTCCTCATTGGGGATGCATACAAGTTGATACAAAGACTTTTTCGAAAGTAATGAGGAGGAAGTTTGGGCAAATACATGTTTGAAGACACATTATTGACACATCTTCTGTAAAGCATACATATTCTGGAAAGCTTCGACTCACTTTTTTTTATAGAGTTTTAACTCACTCTTTTGGTGTATGACAATATAATGTTTGTTTTTCTTATGCAGTTAGAATTTGATTGGCAGCAGTAACACTAACTGATGTGCATTTTAATTTTAATTTCTTTTAAATTGCAGAGTATTGGCTGGTGTGCATTATTTGATATTTAATTTTTTTTATATTTGATTTGTTTGAAATTGTAAAGTGTAGTCTATTAAATAGATTTTTATAATTGCATTTTAATCTTAAATTTAAATAGTGTTGCGATTACAATTATATTATAATCTTAACATTATTTACACTGTGCCTTCAGGCACGGGCATACGCTACTATATATATATATATATATTGGAGAATTATATAACACATATTTCATACCATATATTCCTTCCGTTTCAAAATATTAATCCCTTATTTTATTTTTCATAATCCCAAAATATTAAGGTCTGAGGATATGCTTGGGGAAGAAGATAGCGTTCTTGCAGATGAAGAGGGTGGTTTCGGGTGTCTTGCGGCGGTTTCGAGTAGTGCCGGCATTTGAGGAAGGAGTGGAGCCGGAATTCATATCTTATCTAACATCGAAGATGAAAGGCAGTTTTCCGGTGAGAATTGAGGAGAGGGCTGAGAATTCCTGATGCCGACGACATTCAGTTGACTGATGATGTGCCAAAAAGTTAGTAGTACTGTAGGATTACATGCATTTTTTTTTTCTTCAGGTTGAGCTTCCTTCCAGTTCGTGATCAGATTGGAGGGTACTGTTGGGCCCTTGGGAGCCCACTATAGGTTCCATTTCGATAATCTGAACTGTTCAATGTGTAGAACTCATTGAATACTATATGCCTGTAAAAAATCACGTTGGCCGGATATTAATAGCTACGTGATCAAATCAATTTTGAATAAAAAAAATAAACGGTGAAAAAATAAACGGTTGACAGAAAACTGATTTGATCACATAGCTATCTACATCTGATCAAAGTGATTTTTTACAAGTATATAGTAATCGATGAGTTCTACATATTGAATAGTTCAGATTATCAAAACGGGACTCGTAATAAGTCTCCACAGGCCCAACAACATCCTCCAGTCCGATTGCAAACTGAAGGGAAATCGAGTTGTATTTAATTGCTTTGAATGTTGTTTTAGATTTCAATAAAATTCCCACCTTCATCATACCTATATTTTGGCGCTGTTGGGGAAAAAGAAATGGTAGCCTCAATTTCTTTTTATGAAATAAGCCAAAAAGCGTGAACAGTGCACGCGTGGGTACAGCTGGGTTACAAACAAGGGTGGAATTATCATTTTACCTTTTGACTATTTCAAAGGGTATGGGTTTATACACAACTGAAACAAAATCGCCTCTGCCCTATTCTTATCTCTTCCATTCCGTCTCTCACAACCGACTGTAGCAGCACGAGTTCACAACTGATCTCTCTCCGGCGGACCTATCTCCGGCGAAGCTCTGCCTTCCACACAACACAACCGACGAAGAACTACGACAAGTAAATCACCTGAACTGATTACACATGTGTTTGTTACCTTTGTTGACTTGGTTCTGTTCATTTTCCATTCCGATCTACAAGATCTTGCTGTGTTTTGGTCCATAGTGATGGTATTCGGTGGATATTTACGCCAATCTGGTGATGATTCGTCTTTCTCCAAATTTAAATCGCCGACAACAACGTTTTTTTTTCCTCCCCTCAATTAAATGGCTCATAATAACTCAGAATATTGTGTTGAGCTATTTTTTTTTTCCCCCTTTGATTTCCATAATTATCAATTCACAATCCGAATGTGCAATGATTAGGTTTGGAGTTGGAAATAAATTTTTTTTTTTGGTTCAAAACGATTACATTCCATATTTTGATCTTCGTACCAGTTGCTTGAAATTTGATTTGTATGCTGTGTTTTTCCCATTTTTTTTTCTTTCAATCTGTGTTTGTGCATCATATATGAGATGGAGCAAATTTTTCATAATAATCTGTCAATCTGTGTTTGTTAATTAAGATTGCAAGCCATTGGAAGCCATTGGAATTAAGGGTAGAATAAAAACAAATTAAAATGAATTAATCTGACTTTCCTGATTGGAAGCCATTGGAATTAAAACTAAGAAATTTTAATTAATCTAAATTAAAACAAATTAAAGCCATTAGAAGCCACTGTAAGCCATTTTCCTGATTTCGTCAATAAAGGTAGAATAAAAACACTTTAAAATAAATTAATTTGATTTTGTCATTTTCCTGAAAAAATAAATTAAGACTGCAAGCCATTGGAAAATAAATTCTATTCTTTACTTGTAATATACCTTGATTACAGCAATCAAAAACAAATTTCATACAACAAACTAAAATGATTGAACTCTTATTTTAAAGTGCCTTTTTTTTTAGTCAAATATGCAGCTTTATAATTCTGACTTATAAAGGTGCATTGTGGAACTTGTCATGCCTCACATGCATCTCAAATTACAAGCAGCCATGGGCCAGTTCATTCTCATAATTTTAACATTTGGAATACATTTGTAGTTTATAAATTCTTGGACAGGATTTGAGATGGGAAATTCTAATTTAATCCGTTAGAAAAATTATAAATTATAATTTATAATTACATATATCACAGTTGGGCTTAAAGTAAAATATTTCTGAGAAGACCTATATTTACTTAACAATGAAGTTTGTTAATGTTTCATATTCAAATAATTATGAAAATAGTGTAATTTATTTAGTAGCTCTTCAAGATAAATGACAACAACATAGCTGATATGTATTGGTTGAGTGGTTTATTTAAGAGTTAAAATGATAATGTCGGACTAGGCCAAACTTTAGATGATGCATGTTTGTTTAGATAGAATCACATCACAAAAGCATTATTTATACTAAAGATAAACCTGTATTCTCTATAAAGTGTACTAGAAAAATTTTAAAAATCACTATTTTTACTAAATATTTCTTAGTAAGAAACAGTGAATGGCTTCCTCTATGTCCACTAGCATGTCAACATGGCCACGACGAATGTGTGCTTGCGTCTATGGCCATTGTTTTGTTAAGGTTTCTAGATCCCACAAAAATCCTGGTCGTGCACATTATGTTTGTCCTCGGCTCGTGGTGAGTTGTGTAAAATATGTTATTTGAATCTCCATTGATTGGCAAAATTGAACTTCCATAGCTAACCACAGTTATGTTTGTTGCTCATCAGCAATGTGTAAATTGGATTGGTTGGTGTGATGAATCAGGGACACCGAACCCCGACCATGACTCATCCCCAAGCGAAGTCATGCAGTTACGGGCTGATATCGTGCAAATTTTTAATACCTTGCTTGTCATGAAAACGGTTATTTCTGTGTTGTGCATAACGGTTATCATATTATTACTACGCATGTAAAACGCTGTAGCAACATCGTGTATGTACGTTGGATGCTTGTTTAACTAGTAACTGAAGTTATAAAACTGGACTATTGTAAATGCTACTTGCTATTATTAGTTATTTTCTACTTTTCTCCTACCTTTCAGTTTACTTTTGCATATCATATTTGCCTGTGAGATGTTGTCTATTTTCCGTTTCTAATTTGTGTAACATGTGTACACTACCTTGTACCGTAATTAGTTCAATGGTGGCAACACGTTTGTCCCCTTGAACATCGTCCAAACATAAAGGTGTTGGACACTTGCCTAATGAAGGGTTGGCTAATTACATTGATCTTTCACATAAAGCAACTTGGGACAATGTATCAATCGAAATATTCTTAAAGTGTGTGCAGGAGCAAATTTTAGTGGGACGTAGGCTAGGTACAACTATCACAGTTGCCGGGTATAAGGAAATTGTTGTGAAATTCGCTCAGCGCACGGGTAGACGTCATGATATGAAACAGTTCAAGAACAAGTACCTTGCTTTGAAAAAGGAGTGGCGGGCTTGGAATAAGTTGATGGACAGCAGTAAGGGTGTAACTGGCATTAGGTTTGACAGGGCAACCAGGTTGTTCACCGCGTCAGAGGAGTGGTGGGAAAATTTGAAATCGGTATGTAATATGCTGTATATACTTGTAGTGTATTGTTCATTTCATATTCGTAATTAATTTGGTTGTTTGTTACTTTACTACTTTAGTTTGGTTTTTCTAATTTTTATTCTTCTCATTTGCAGACAAACAAGCTAGCGTACAAATTCAAGACCAAGCCATTGGAGCATGAAGATTTGATGCGGGAAGTTTTCACAAGTGCAACCGCGACTGGGAAACATCATTGGACCCCCGACGAGCAAGTTGCGGACATTGCGGACGGTGAATCCAATGTAGTTGACTCCTCTGGGTTATAGCCATTTACTGAGCCGTATCAACCAGTGGCGCATCAGTGCTGGTAAACAGTTTCAACCATCTTTCCGAGGCGGTTCGTTCACAGAAGCACCTTACGGTCAGGTATCGAATTGTTGTATCTCAGAAGTATGGCATTGAGGCATGCATGCAAAGGATTATGGTTATTCCCGACTTCCATAGTACGCCCTGTAACAAATGCAAATTATAATTAACTGAATTATCCATGTGTTAATTGCGGATTTTATGATTTAATTTGTGTATATTTGTCCAAATTGGGAAATTATTTGTTGAGAATACAACTTTGGAATTGAAATTGATGACATAAATGGTTTCATAAATCAAAATTGAGTACAAGGATATGTTAATTAGAATTTTAGAGTTATTTGGGAAGTTTAATTAAAAATTGATTCCTTTTGATTCGCTAATTTTAATAGGTTGGAATTAAATAATTGAATAGGAATTAGAGTTTAATACACATTAGTTTAATTTAATTTAGTGTAATTAAGATTTTAAGATGTTGAGACTAATTTACTTTGAGTCAAATTAATCTTAATTAATCTCTTAGCCTTAGAAAATTTACTTAATTTATTAATCTATTTAATTTGAGCCTAGCGTCTTTCATACTCATCAAATGAATTTAGATGAGAGAGCTAATGGGTCTTATTGGATGGTTTCACACTACACACGTAGAGAGAGAGAGGAAGAGAGACTTGAGAGTGTAAACTCAACCCAGGAAGAAAGAAGAAAAGAAAGTGAAGTGAAGAAACCATTGCTACTACACTCTACCCCTCACAATTCACTCCCTTTTGGTAAGGATTCTCCTCCCTAATCTCATGAATTAGAACGTAGTTGAAGAATTATGCCCTTAAGTTAAAGAATTTAATATTAGGCAAGAAAATATGAACTTATTTGAAATGGGTTCATGTAATGAAAAGCTTGTTACATGCATGAGTTCATATGTGATGAATGAGTGTTTTAGCTCCCAAATTTTATATGCATGGCATGATTTTTATGGAAATTTGTTTTTATCCATTTGAATTCTTGCATGGGTCTTCAATTGAGAGGGAATTCCATGGAAGCTTGAGTTTTAGAGCTCACACTTGCATGTTTTATACATTTACATACATGTATATAATAAAGTGAGGATTTGATTTCTTCATGGCAATTTGAGGTTGTTTTAAACTCATGATTTTTGTTTGAACTTGGAAATTGTGAATTCAAAGTGTTTTTGAAGAAGTTTCGGGCCTTGAAATTGAAGTTGAATTGCGAAATTTATATGTTTATGAGTTTCTGATTCAGTAATTTAAACATGACTGAATAATTGTAATTTAATGTGTATGAGCCTAATTTAAGTTTAATTGTGTAATTAGTGAACTTAATAAGGGTTGGTATATAATTAGATTATTTATATTTAATTAGTTTGGTTAATACAACTAAACATGTTTTAATTAGAGGTTAAAGAAAATTAATAATCTAATTAATTCTTAATTCTAGCCATTCATATTTAAAAACTTAAGTGAACTAAACATGTTTAAGATGATTGTGTATCGTGCTATGCATATTTGTGATTATAGGTCACGAGTCAAGGACTGCTTGACCAACCATTCTGAAAGTCCACTGTGAGTAACGTTATTGTAAAGATATGTTCATATGAATTATGTTCCAAATGTGATTTGATAAGTTATGATTTTTGAAATGATATTTGTTTACGTGAACGAATGTCCTATGTTTGAAATCTATTATGGCATCCATAGATAGTCCCAAGTCATGGGGGACGGCATTTTAATGCGGGTCCATGACATATATGTGATACGAGATCTCGTTAGCCACTTCATTGTGGTGATATGTATTTAATCAGTATCCGGAACCGATTACTCTAGTCAGAAGACGATATGTGATATGTTCTTTTGGATGTACCATTATGTTATGTTCTGATATGAGACTGATATGAATGATTGTGACATGATTTGTTTCACGGATATGTTATATGTGGAATTCGTTCACTAACTCCTTTACTTTAATGTTATTCACTGGGCTTTAGCTCACTATATTTATATATATGTATAGGTGAGCATTTTGGAGGGCAAGCCTAGAAGAGGTCTATAGCTGAGTCATCATTTTGAAGCCTACCGAGTTGTTCTGTGTGCCTCTAAGTTGGGGCTAGGCCTGGAAGGCCGTTGTCAAGCTTTTGATCATGAAGTAAACTTTTGTTATGTATAAAATGTTAAGTTACAAGTTATGTACTGAATGTGGGTAAATTAACGTTTTTGCATGTAAATATTTGTTCATATAGATGCACAGCTCATTGGACTATTGGTGTTTTTGTATATTGCTTCTGCTAGTCCCGATTATTTTGATTGCACAAGAAGGCCTTTGATAATCTTAGATTACTAGCTGGTTACGACACTAAACCTATAGGGGCGGGTTTGGGTCACGACAGAATGGTATCAAAGCATGAGTTAATTTACCCACACACGTGTCCATATTAGCTATAGGATGTCCTAGAAAAGCAATAGGGCATGGCATAGACATATGTGCGTGTGTATGTACTTTATATGAAATGAAATGAATTTGAATACTATGCACATTTGGAAATGACATGAAGTGAACACATGTGAACTAAAAGGAATTTATCCGACGAGAATTGACATGAACAAAACACTTTGAAACTGTATGGAATTCTTTGCCTGTGCTCTACCTATGAAAAGAGAATAGAAAGAACAAGAACTATAGATGGTGAGATAATAGGGAAAACATTATGTTATGCTCCATGCGCTATTTGGAATTGTTGTTATAGTCCATATGATTGTGTTGTATATCGACTGTGAAACTTGGTTGCCTATGATTCCCTCTGCTATGGATTCTATAGACTAATGGACAATGCAAATGCAAGAAATATATATGAGTTAGAATCTTCTAATGCCAAAATAGATCGGTTAGAAAGAATGGTGGAGGCTTTAACTGAATTGGTGAGACAACAACAAGAGCAAAGGAAACAACAACAGAGACAACCATTCCCACCTCCTCCTCCACCACTTGTTCAAATGGAACTGATCAATAATGATGACATCATTGCTCTTACACAAAAATACAAGAAAATGAAGTCACCAGAATTTTTGAGGGGTATTGAATCGTTAAAAGCTGAGGCGTGGGTGCTTGAAACTGAAAAGATTTTTGAAGTGTTTCCATGTATTGATGTGCATAAAGTTCTATTAGCAACATTTACTTTGAAAGAAGAAGCTAGAAGATGGTGGATGCTCATTCGTGATGAGAATAGAGACTTGACATGGGATCGGTTCAAAGAAATTTTCTATGAAAAATACTTCCCGCAATGCATTCAAGACAGGAAGGTATCTGAATTTGAACAGTTGAAGCAGGGGACCATGTCAGTAGCGGAGTACGAAGCTAAATTCACTGAATTAGCCCGTTATGCACCTCATATGGTTGACACTGACTACAAAAAGGCAAGGAAATTTAAAGGCAGATTGGATGTCGAAGTACTTGATCGGGTAAATGTGTTGAAATTGGTAAAATATGTGGACGTACTTGATAGAGCTTGATGTCCGAAGCAAACATTGCTGCCTTGAAAATGCCCAAGCCAACAACAGTAACCGAAGGAGAAAGGAACAAATTAAAGAAATAGAAAATGGAAATGGTTAGTGAATCAATGGCCTCCGTGAATGAAAAATCAAATTCGAGAACTTTTGGTAATACAAGTTAAAGAAATAATGGGAACAATGAGGTACCTAAATGTAGGGAGTATGGGAAACAACACTGGGGCATTTGCTGCCGCCTTTCTGGGGCTTGCTTTAGATGTGGACCAAAAGGACACTTAGCCAAATCTTGTCCACAAGCTCACCCAAACAATGAAAGACTGGTTATCAGTAGGTTTGAATTAGAAATGACACCAAGAACAAATGTAATTGCTACTGCTGTCATGACCCTAACCCGCCTCTATCGATTAAGGTCATAACCGACCAGTAATCAATGGATTACCTACGACCTCAAACCAAATAAACATATATCATCAGGGTAAATGGGCCAAACGGAAGCAAACTTAAACTTTTGTCCATAGAGCTGTGCTTACGTGGCACATCAAACGTATCAAACATAGGTATTCATTAATAACTCACACCAAAAGGAATATAGCTTAAAGTTTTATACATACAGGATCATTCAAGTCTTAGTCAGCCAAGCTAAACTTATATACAAAGGTAATCCAGCGTTTTCGCCAATACTGCAAAATTTATAACATAACAAAAGAACAAAAGGGCAAAAACGAGTCTCGTGCGTGAGACGGTTGGGCTGACTCCTCAATACTTGACTATTTCTCACATACTTCACCGGGGCTGGGTTTGGACATCTCTTGGCTCACCTATATACACATGAATGAGAGTGAGTGAAAGCCTAGTAAATAATATCAAATAAAGAGAATACATGAATGAAGTTCAGAATAGATATACAAATATCAAACGACCTTGGGCCCATCTTTGGTTTTACCTAGTACGTTAGACGACTTTAAGCCCGAGCATATCGAACGGCCTCTGACCCATTTCATTCATGTCAAATGGCCTCCGGCCTAATCATTTGCATCAAACGGCCTTTGGCCCAATTGTTTATGTCAAACGGCCTTTGGCCCAATCATTTATGTCAGACGACCTTTGGCCCAATCATTTATATCCAACGGCCTCTGGCCCAATCAATCGTATCCAACGGCCTTTGGCCCAATCATATGGCATAACAGATATTTTTCCATAATTCAAATTAACAAGCTTACAAGATTTTTATAGGAACAAGCAATAGGACAAATAATATACTTCAAAACATTTTTACTAAGATATTACTCACAGTGATCTGCCAGATGGTTTGCCCTTGTGCTTGACCCTATACATTTCATGAACATAATGGGTCACAAACGATTCAACCTGTTTTTAATTCATATATCCCTCTTAGGCTTCATTCTTATCTTTTTAATACGTTTACAATGTTCAATGCATGCCTAAGAGTGCTTAGAAATAAAAGAGAATGGAAAATGAAACACAAAACATTTTTTACAAAATTTCTGAAACAGGGCTCCCCGCTCGAGCGCAGGTTTCCCCGCTTGAGCGGACCCCCTTTTGTCTGCAAAAGTGCTGGTTACCTCATTAATACGCTCGAGCATGAGTTCGGACGCTCGAGCTGAATGTCAAACTACATGGCTTGACGCTCGAGTGTGAATCTTCCCGCTCGAGTGGACACCAATGTCTGCAAAAGTTCTGGGAACCAACATTCCATGCTCGAGCAGCCCTTTCCCCGCTCGAGCAGACATTCCAAATTCTAGAATTTCCAGAACTGGTTTTGAAGTTCAAACTCGACATTCAAAGGCCCAAAACTCATGTCTTTGATTCAAAAACGTGGAAATGCATTATATAGCATGAGGATGTAAGCAATATGAGACCAATTATTCAAAATCATGATCTAATTCTTGAATTAATCAACATTTCTCTTGCATGACCAAAATTCATGCATTCAAACTTCACACAAGCCTCATATCTCCATCAATCAAGCATGCATGTAAATTTTTGACTCTAATTCCATTTCAACTAGCACTAATGATGCTTATAATCGTGAAACTCATGAGAATTATGCATGCATGTGAGATTTGGTGCCCAATTCATCATGTTCAATATGCTCCATGCTTGAATATGTAAAATCATGGCAATTCTATGCATGCATGTGCATATGGGCTCCCAATTCATTATAATCAACATAGCTCATGCTCTTGATTGCCATCTAACTTTGAATTCACAAAATTACAAACTTATGCACATGAATTTATACTCAAATGCGTACCTAGGAGCTCTAATCACCCAAATTATGGTTAATTCTTGAATTGGTCTTCAAGATCTTCAAGCTTCTTGATTAATTCTTCAACTTGAGCTCCCTCTCTCTCTCTAACCGGCACACACTCTCTCTCTAGAGTGTAATCTCATCAAAATGAACTCAAAGGAGAGGAATTAAGTGTATATAGAGGCCTATTTATAGGCCCTCTTAATCAAATTGATTAAGGCTAAGCAATTGGGCTTAATTTAATCATTCTGAATCTAATTATTTTGATCCGAGTCAATTTCTAATTAAATTTCACCGTAGGCTCTAAAAATTTTGCCAATCGCAATGGCGTAGTCAATTTCGATTTCTGTGGCCGATAAGGCCTTCAATTTAAATTCTAAAGTAGATAATCAAACAGATTTTCCTACAGTGAACAGATAGAAATTCAAAACCACATATATTCATGTAAATGGCACTCAAAATCATATCAAACACATAATCACAATCATAATTAAGTTAATCAAATTGATTAAGGCTAAGCAATTGGGCTTGATTTAATCGTTCTGAATCTAATTATTTTGATCCGAGTCAATTTCTAATTAAATTTCACCGTAGGCTCTAAAAATTTTGCCAATCGCAATGGCGTAGTCAATTTCGATTTCTGTGGCCGATAAGGCCTTCAATTTAAATTCTAAAGTAGATAATCAAATAGATTTTCCTACAGTGAACAGATAGAAATTCAAAACCACATATATTCATGTAAATGGCACTCAAAATCATATCAAACACATAATCACAATCATAATTAAGATTAATTAGCATAATACGGACCAGGGTTATCACAACTGCGGAAGGGGAGTAATCTTAGGTAGGGAAGAGTTTACACTCTAGTTTCAGAAAATATGTAGAATATTGAGACAACAGATGCGGGTATTATCTTACTTATGGGCAACATATATATGTGGAAATTATTATACATCGTGGCATTTGTTGGACTATTGTGATGAATTATGATAATTGCTTTTGCTTACTCATGAAGCTTAACTTCTATTACTTACATGGAATACTGATTGGTCATAACACTTACGTGTAGACAGACTAAGAAATTAGCTGATTTATCAGACACTATTATGTACCTTCCTCAATTTGATATGACTTGGGAACATGCTGATTGAAATGATAGAGATGATATGTGATGCTTTGAAATGTTGTGACTTTGACAAATCAGCTATGCTGATTATCGGGGGACAAATTTTGTTATTGAATACTATTACTTCCGAATTTATAACCAAATGCTTATGTAATCATGGAATATGGACTCATATGTGTGTGTATCTTTCCTCGGAGTAATTTGTTATGATATGTGACCCTTAGAATTAGATCCTCGAGACCATGGTTTTGTGACGAAGGAACCCGTTTGAAATGGAACCTTGATTTGATTTGATTTGTTTATGAGGACTATGAATTGTTATTGAACGAATGATAGGGTTATCTTTGCTAATGGAGGAGTAAACCGAGAACCTATTTATTGTATAACTTCGACTAATTGGGAGCACATGTCTTATGACAAAGATTGAATGCCTCGGTATTACCTTTGCTATTACTTGTTCAGGGAATGGTTGCATTTATGTTACTAGCTACTTGGAAGTATATTACTTAGATACATTGCCTTATCTTCCAATTGATTTTGTGGGAAATGTGAAAGATATGTTCATTATGTGCTTGACTACTACTGCCTTCACTGTTATGGGATGGAAATGTGGAGTTGATTTAGAATTCTGGATGACTGAAATAGATCTTTGAATTGCGTTGACCATGGGTGACGGAATTGAATAATAATATAAGACCGAGGTTTCTAATCGTATTACAGGGTAAGATAAGTTTGGGAGACCAAACTTTCTAAGGTGGGGAGATTGTAACACCCCCAAAAATGCAAATTATAATTAACTGATTTATTCATGTGTTAATTGCGGATTATATGATTTAATTTGTGTATATTTGTCCAAATTGGGAAATTATTTGTTGAGAATACAACTTTGGAATTGAAATTGATGACATAAATGGGTTCATAAATCAAAATTGAGTACAAGGATATGTTAATTGGAATTTTTAGAGTTATTTGGGAAGTTTAATTAAAAATTGATTCCATCTTATTCGCTAATTTTAATAGGTTGGAATTAAATAATTGAATATGAATTAGAGTTTAATACACATTAGTATAATTTAATTTAGTATAATTTAATTTAGTGTAATTAAGATTTTAAGATGTTGAGACTAATTTACTTTGAGTCAAATTAATCTTAATTAATCTCTTAGCCTTAGATAATTTACTTAATTTATTAATCTATTTAGTTTGAGCCTAACGTCTTTCATACTCATCAAATGAATTTAGATGAGAGAGCTAATGGGTCTTATTGGATGGTTTCACACTACACACGTAGAGAGAGAGAGAGGAAGAGAGACTTGAGAGTGTAAACTCAACCCAGGAAGAAAGAAGAAAAGAAAGTGAAGTGAAGAAACCATTGCTACTACACTCTACCCCTCACAATTTACTCCCTTTTGGTAAGGATTCTCCTCCCTAATCTCATGTATTAGAATGTAGTTGAAGAATTATGCCCTTAAGTTAAAGAATTTAATATTAGGCAAGAAAATATGAACTTATTTGAAATGGGTTCATGTAATGAAAAGCTTGTTACATGCATGAGTTCATATGTGATGAATGAGTGTTTTAGCTCCCAAATTTTACATGCAT